GGGATTGGAAAGTTTCGTGATGAATTCCATTGAATACCATTGATTCCGTTAACGAAATGAATACCATTGAACGCCAAACTAGAAATTAAAAATTTCCGTATTGAATTCCATTGAATTCCGTCTATTCTGACAATAAAATGAATACCATTGAATGCCAGGATAGGGATTGAAAAGTGTCCGTGTTGAACTCTGTGGCGGTACGCGCCAACAATAGTACACGCCCGCGGGGTATCTGCATTACCGGCAATTCGCGTCGACGCCGCTAGGCGTCGCATCGCCGGGGCATCTTCTCGAGTTCAAAGTTTCGTCTCGACCGCTATGTAAAGGGACCCCCTACGGTGCCTGACAGATCTTACAAATCTCATTTTCGGGCTAATTGCCCGTCGGCAGTAGTGCGTGTAATGCCCATAGACATACACAAAAGCTCACCGACGAACAACGGCGCTTGGTCGCCCAACGGAGGCGCGAGACGTTTCCTAAACCATCTAATGCCATGTAATTCCATAACCTTTACGGATTCCATAGGATTGGATGGAATTTAAAATTTCTTTTTTGGATTCCATGAGATTGGACCATCTCATTTCGAATCCCATCTAATTCCATCTAATTCCGCCAAAAAAGGGATTCAAAGGTATTAAAAAATTTTAATATCTTTTAATTCTTTTGCGTTTGCTGGGTTGATATATATGTTATATATATATGTATAAGGAACACGATGAAGAACACAAAGTGCATAGAGAATACAAATAACATCTAAGTAGTTTGCTTCAACAAATAGATATTTACATAATAAATAGGTATTAAAAGAAGTAATAAATTTGCACGTCTAATAAAAATTACTTTTTAAAATTTACTGAACTAAATTTTATTTGTATCAAAAAATATCCTTTTAAGTTTGTTTCTTTATTTCATCAAATTTTATACGCAATCAAAGAATCAAATCTTTCTGGAACTATATCCCAATGCCGAGATTCTTGTATATTACTCTTCAATAATATATTTATATATTTGCATTTGTGTATATTATGAGAGATATTTATTTACGAGAATAAATCAATATATTGAATAACAATTTATAATTTATTTATATGTATATGTCATGTATATATTAGATTATCGATATATCCAAACGACTTAAGAGTATTTTCATATAACAAATTATCCTAGGCATACTATTGCCATTGTTGCTAAAATTAAACAGAACAACACGAAAGCTATACGATCGATGGCTGTGCCTGCGAGAATCCATTGCAATTGCGTGGTGTTCTTCGTTGGCGAAATTATATTTTGCCGGTCTCCCTCGTCCGAAATGTTAGACGTTGAATTAGTAGTGGATTCCTCCGTAAGTTTACCACGCAATTCTTGACCTGGCATAGGCCGTCGCGATTCAATCTGGAAAAATTATCGACAATAATTTCAAAATTCAATAACGTGAGAGAATTAAATTTTATATTGCATATAATTATTTATATTTATATTTAATTTGCATAATTTCTTATTACTATTAATATTACAGAAAAATAGATGTAAACAATATGAGAGTGTGCGTGAAATATTCTTTAGTTCAAGTTTTATAACATCCCGGAAAAAAAGGATTAGATCTGGACTAGATCAAATTATATCTCAGCAGATCAAATTTTATCTGGTCAGATATGCTTAGATATGACTTCTTATGTCTGCGCAGATCTGGTCATGTATGTACATATGTTCATATATAAAGCCCCTTGCACAATGCCAGGCAACAGGCAATAGGAACAGGAAATAACCAAAAAATCGTTAATTACAACCTAAAAAATTCAAATGCTATGATTGGTTGGCAATAGGCAATAGGCACAGAATTTCCAACGTAACGGAAACTCTGTGTCTATTGCCTGTGTCACTGTTTATTCTGCATTTATACATGATTTCTGATTTCTATTCCCTGTTCCTATTGCCTGTTGCCTGGCATTGTGCAAGGGGCTTTACTATATATAATCATATATGGGGTGTAATCTGGTCTTCGACGGTTCAGATCGGATCATATCTGTTCAAATCGGATCATATCTGCTCAGATTGAACCATATCTGTGATTGAATTTCATCGAAACAGTCCACATCTGACTGTATCTGTTTAGATATAACCATATATATGTTGAAGAGTCCTCGGATCTTCGGTTTCTGCGGCGATACGCACTTGGTGACTCCATGCGTTACCGCCTTAACGCGGCTCCTCATTGGACGGACCGCCACCTAACTTCCTATCATTACGCGTGGTGTAGCGCGACTCTTCTGAACACACTTGATCTGTACTCTACCGTCTCGAAGCCCGGCCGCTTGACTTCGTCAATAAAGATTGCAGCGTGCCTATTTTACATCTGCGTATATTTACTCGATCCATCACCGTTCCCGGCTATCCCAACAGGTTATGGGCCCAGGCCTCGCATAAAAGGAAAGGAACGAGGAAGTAAGCGACAAGTGAGTAAGCGACGAACGATTCAGCAACGAGGAAATAAGCGACGTGTACGTATATCTTGCTTTGAGGTTATACTGTGACTCGATACAAAATGAATTCCACCGTAAGAATCAAAACCTTGAACCTTGAACAAGGATAATTTTGACACGTGGAAGTTGCAGATGCAAGCGCTGCTTATTAAAAACGACGCTTGGGCATATGTCAGCGGAGAAATCCCGAGGCCTATTCTTGTCAGCAGAAACGCGACTTCTCAGCAGAAAGTGGATACATGGGTCAAAAACGACAGTAAGGCCAAGTCAGACATTATCCTATCGATAAGCCCGTCGGAATTAAAGCAAATTAAAGGCTGCAATACCTCGCGCGAATTATGGCTAAAGTTAATATCAGTCGAAAGGGCCGGCACGAAAAGCGACGCTCCTGAAACAGTTCACGTTACAGCGCATGGAAGAAAGCGACGACATTCACGAACACATTCGGAAGTTCTTCGATGCCGTGGACAAACTCGGAGAAATGGACGTTGACATTAACCAAGATTTGCTATAGCGATCATGCTGTTATACAGCTTGCCACCAAGTTTCGAAAACTTTCGATGCGCAATCGAATCTCGAGACGAGTTGCCGTCACCAGAAGTGCTCCGCATCAAAATCATAGAGGAAAGTGATGCTCGAAAGAACGACACGCGCGAACGTCCAGAATGCCATGATAGCGAACAAAGACAATACTACGAAACGGCGAAATCAGAAGAAGAGAACGACGGAAGGCGACAAATCCGATACTAAATCCGATACTAGACAAGGACGCAGCAGTGACGCACAGTCTGCGAAGAAAGTGGAAGACGTTAGCTTGTATGCTGGACTCGAATCGCCGCACGATCAGAACGCTATGCGCGCCAACGAATCAAATAACCCGAAGTGGTGCCTGGATAGCGGTGCGACATCACATATGTGCGACGAATTAAGCAAGTTTACGGACGTAAAAAACGGAAATCACGGACGTTTGAACCTAGCTAACAACGCATCGACACAAATCGCAGCGAAAGGGACAGTGTCTTTTACGACAAACGTACACGGTGGGGCAAGGAATATTCACTTGAACAATTCCCTACACGTTCCGGATCTTCGGACAAATCTTATGTCAGTTGCGAGAATTGCAGATAACGACTACAAGGTGATCTTTAGTAAACTTGGTGCTGAAGTGATATTGACAACGATGGAAACGTAAAATTAACGGCAAATCGAGTCGGCGATCTATTCTACGTGTGCGAAGATACGATCGAACATTGCAAGGCAGTCACGGAAGATAACTCTGAAGCATCGGGAACACTGATGTCATGGCATCGTCGTCTCGGACATCTAAACATCGAAGATCTTCTTGACGCTGAACGCAATGAAACTCTGTTAAGAATCAAGATCGGACAGCACAAGGCCAAAATACAGTGTAGTACTTGCATTCACGGAAAAATGACTAGAGCGCCGTTTCCCAAAAAGTCAAACCGGAAGACAGAAACGTTAGAAATTATACACTCCGACGTATGCGGCCCAATGAGAACCGCATCTATTGGAAAGACGAAGTATTATGTAACTTTCATCGACGATCGCACGAGATGGTGCAAAATTCGCTTCCTGAAGTCCAAAGACGAAGTCCTTACAAAGAATTCAAGCAACTTGTCGAGAATCAAAAAGGTAGACGAGTAAAGTGCATACAGTCCGACAACGGAGGCGAGTATACGAGCAAGGACTTTGACAAGTACCTGAAGGAACACGGAATTACTAGGAGGCTATCCGTCGCACGCAATCCAGAGCAAAACGGCATTGCGGAAACGAAGAACTGTACCATCCTGGATACAGCCAGATGCCTATTATTACAGTCAGGCTTACCTTCGAGTTTCTGGGCAGAAGCGGTTAATACCTCGAACTCGAACTATATTAGGAACAGATGCCCAACGAAGAGTCTAAACGGAATGACACCTTACGAGGCTTGGACGGGAAATAAACCGGACGTGAAACACTTCCGAAAATTTGGATGCAAAGTTCTGTGCTTAAATTGCGATCCCACTAAAGGAAAACTAACATCACGCAGCAAGGAGGGCATCTTCCTCTGTTACTCAGAGCAATCCAAGGGTTATCGGATCTGCCTCCCTGAAGAGCAAAGAGTCGAAATATCACGAGACGTAAAGTTTTCAGAAGACCATAATGTATCGAAAAGCAACGAATCACCTGTCCCGGATATTCCTCTTGAAGAAAAGACCGCGGAACCCACTCCACACGAGACGGAGATTGACCTATCGACAGAGAAGAAAGACACTGAAGATATCGATCTAAACGCGGACTATTCAGAAGACGAGGACACCTCAGAGGTCACCAACGAAGAAACGGCGGAAGAAGCGTCGACGACTCCAAAGAGAGGCCCCGAAAGACCCAAATTAATCCGGACTGGATTAAGGGGGAGACCGCGAAAGCTGTTTCACGAGCGACGCAAGACCGCAAACACGATGGAAGAACATTATGCCTTTCTATCGGAAGTTCCCCTAAAGGAAGCAATGTCCAGTCCGCACGTAGAAGAATGGATGCAAGCCATGGTATCAGAGGTCAAGTCTATCATTCGAAATGACACGTGGGAAATCGTACCCCGTCCTACTGACCGTCACATAATCGGAAGTCGAATAGTACTGAGAAACAAGTTTCGACCGGATGGTTCCATCGAAAGGAGAAAAGCACGTATTGTGGCCCAAGGATTTTCACAGCGCTCGGAGGTACATTTTAATCAGACGTTCGCTCCTGTGGCTAAGATAAGTTCCATACGGTTGATGGTAGCTATAGCTGCTCGTTACGGGATGGACATACAACAATTTGACGTGACGACAGCATATCTAAACGGTACTATTGATGAGGAGATATTTATGTTTCCACCTAAGATGTTACAGGAATCTCTGGAATCCATTATCGAATCTGAGGGAAGCAACAGCACAATGGGCATCAAAGCGAGACAGATGCTTGAAAAATTGCGTTTCGGTGAAATGATCTGTCTGCTGAAAAGGTCTCTCTACGGGCTTCGACAAGCAGGCAAATGCTGGTACGACACATTAGATGAAGCTCTAAAGAAACTTGGCGCAACCCCCTGTCACGCTGATCCATGCGTGTACTACATCGGACAAGGAGAGAGCTTGCTATTGATCGGCACCTACGTGGACGACATATTAATGGCCTCACGTAACTCTAACGCCATTAATAGGATGAAGAAGAGCTTGTCACGAGAGTTCAAAATTAAGGATCTCGGAAAAGTCAGTTGCTGCCTCGGAGTTCAGTTTATACAAGATGACGGAAAAATCATAATGCACCAAAAAGGATATATCGAAGATATTTTAAGGCAATTCGGGATGAACGAATTAAAGCCCGTCCGGACCCCAATGGATTCCAGCGTGAAGTTAACGATGCCTGAGGACGCCTCTGACCCCAGTATCCAGGCGCTGCCATACCGTGAGCTAATTGGCGCCCTTACATATCTGGCGGTGGCTACAAGGCCGGACATCGCGTATGCAGTTAGCTCGCTGGGTTCAATAATTCTTACGGGAGCATCCATTGGACTGCTGCCAAACGCGTATTGCGTTACCTGAGAGGGACGATCGACCTAGGATTAACTTTCGAGGCCGGATCCGATCCACTTAAAGGATTCGTTGATGCCGACTGGGGGAATTGTCTAGTTGACAGGCGTTTCTTCACCGGATACACTTTCATTTTGAGCAAGTGCGCCGTGTCTTGGGAGGCCAGGAAGCAGAGAACTGTGGCGCTTTCTTCGACCGAAGCGGAGTACATAAGCCTCTCTGATGCCGCTAAAGAAGCAATCTACTTGCGGAGTTTTTTGATGGAACTGGGTTTACACGACTTGGCAGACATCATCATTTTTAGCGACAGCATGGGTGCTAAGAAACTTGATACTATTAG